CTTTTATTTACTTCCCGGAGATCTTGTACCAGTCGATAGTCATTTGTGTGAGGCTTCTTGACCGGCAGTAGGGGGGTGTTCCAGGCAGATTGGCAGGGAACCAGCACCCCTAGACTCCGCAGTCTCTGGATGTGTAGCTGAATTCCCTCCCGGGCCTCCTGAGACATGGGGTACTGTTTGATCCTTACCGGACCTTCTCCTGGCTTTAGCTCCACTAGGACTGGGGTTCTGTGAGCAGCTAGTTCTACCCCTCCTGTCTCTGCCCAGGCTGTGGGGAATTCTTGTAGCCATCTGTCCATGTTATCCCCACTTGGGAGCGCCTCCTGGTGGAGGCAGTGCTCATCCTCTAGCCTCAGAGTCAGAACGTGGATGGGGGGGCCCTCGCCATTGGTGACCTGAGGCCCCCCTTGTCTGAAAGTTATCTGAGCTCCAATCTTGGTCAGTAAATCCCATCCTACCAGTGGGTAGGGGCATTTCGGTATTACCATAAAGGAGTGGGTTACCTGGCCTATCCCTAAATCCACTGTTCTTCGGGTAGTCCATGAATACTGGTTCATACCAGTTGCCCCTTGCACCCAGGACTTTTTGCTAGCTAGTTTTTCTTGAGGAGTGCAGAGGACCGAATGCTGCGCTCCAGTGTCAACAAGGAAGTCAACAGGGGTCCCCTCCACTCTAAGAGTTACCCTGGGCTCTGGGAGGGGGTCCGAACCCTGACTCCCCTAATCACTTAGTTCATCAAGCCCCAAGACCTTTACTCGGTCTGTCTTGCTCCCCTTCCCACTGTCTCTCTTAGGACATTCTTGAGCCCAATGCCCTATCTTCTTGCAGTATGCACATTGGTCCTTCTGCAGTTTCCACCTCCCTTCCCCAGAGGTCTCCTTACCCCTCTTTCGATCATTTGCAAGCTGTCGGAGGTGGAGGTCCTGTTTCTCAGGGGAGTCCATAGTGGTGGCCCATAGGATCCTCGCCAGGTCTCGGGTCTGCCTGCGAGCCTGTTTATCCTGGTTATCGTACACCTTTTCAGCCACCACCAACAAGTCCTGCAGACTCTTCTCTCCCAATCTATCTATTCTTCGCAGTTTTCTCCTAATATCTGCAGCAGACTGGTTTACAAAGGCTACAATAACAGCTGCCTTACTCTAAGGAGCCTCTGGATCCATGGGGGTATAGGTGCAAAATGCCTCCATGATCCACTCTAAAAGGCTGCTGGAGATTCATCTTTCTCCTGCTGTACGCTCTCTACCTTAGCCAGATTAGTCAGCTTTCTGGCAGCCACCCAGAGACCCCCCATTAGAGCCTGGCGGTAGACCCGGAGCCTCTCCTTACCTTCTGTTGTGTTGAAATCCCATTCAGGCCTAGTCAGAGGAAAAGAGGTATCTATCTGAGCCTGGTTGGTGGTAGGATTCCCATTCATGCCTGGAACCAGCTTCCGGGCCTCATTAAGGATCCTCTCTCCTCGGTGGTGAACAGGACCTGCAAGAGCTGCTGGCAGTCGTCCCAGGTTGGCTGTTGGGTAAAAATGATAGAATCCAACAGATTAATAAGATCCGCTGGCTTCTCAGAAAACTCAGGATTTTGAGCTTTCCAATTATAGAGGTCACTAGTGGCGAAAGGCCAGTAGTGATGGGGCTGATCGCCCCTCTCATCTGGGGGACCAGTGGCTCGCAGGGGTAAAATCTTAATAGTGGAGTTGGTGACGAAGGCGAATGGTTCCCTCTGGGCTCTTTGTCTGGTATACGGCGGGCTTCCCGCTCTCCTCGTGGTGTCTGCTTCCTTTAATGGAGTAGGGTCAGGTCCCTCCTCTGGCACCCTGGGGAACTGATACGGGGGAGGAAAAATTAATTCTTATTCAGTTCCCCTCTGCAAGACAGAGTAGCGGGGAGCTGATGGCAGGGTGATTTTTTCCTCTGTCCTCTCCATTCCCTGTAAGGCAAAAATAGGTTCTGGTTCTGAGGGGCGCGGAGCCACAAAGGGCTTAAGCCAAATGGGTGGGTTCTCCACAAGGTCCTGCCACATGATAATGTATGGGAGCTGATCGGGGTAACCCGGCTTGGGTTGAGAGACAACACTCCGAACCCGGCGAATGGTAGGGAGATGGAATGTTCCCTCTGGTGGCCATCTGACATTGAAAGCTGGCCACTCACTTGAACAACTCTGCCATTTGTTCTTCCAGACCTCCATACTAAAATTGTTAGCTCTTTCCTCTACTTCCTGAAAATGATTAATCACAATGTTCAAAGGAGTAATCTGAGTCTGTCCCATAACATCTATACAGTAAATCCATAAAATAACACATAAAATCACAAACGCCACCAGGAGAAGAACTCCCCGCATCAACATTTTCAGTATTATAACAATTCAATACATTCAGATTTGAGTTTTTATAGCAAATTTACAAACAAGAGCAAACTGAAACTCTTCCCTTACTTATACAAACATACAAACAAACAAAGAACACAGGAACAGATGGGCGGGGGGCAAGAACAGCCTTCCAACTCCGTGGAAGAGGCGCCTAAAACTAAACGACGGCCTCATGCCGACCACCTCATCCTGAGAGGGAATTCTATGTCCCTCCTAAAGGAGGATCAAAATGACTTTTGATCTCTCTGGCCCGTGGTCTTCAATAGTGTGTCCGCTAGATCTTTCGGGCACTTCCCACCGGAATCCCTTCACACACTTCTACCGCGGCCAGACAGGCTCCCCGGATTCAGTGTCCCTCAGTCTTGGAGATTTCGGACAAGGCCCCATATGTAATATCCAAGTGTCATAAACCCCAAAGACTATCAGGGAGCCGAATCCAATGCAATTGCAGAAAGCCTGTATTTATTTTGGACTAGTCTGAGCTCGGTCCCACCTACACCGGCAATGGCATGGTGGAAGAGAGAAAGAATTTAACATATCAATGGGTTTTATAGGGGGGTGGTGCCACCACCTTGGCTGACCTGATTGGTTGGGTTAGGGCTAGGGTCCAGTTACCAGGAGCTGGCCCCGCCCCGCCCTGCCCTCTCACGTCAAAAAATACTGCATCACTGACTTAAAATAATTTTTTAAAGTGTAAGCATCATATAGATTTCTCATCTGACAAATGAGAACAAATCAATCCTTGAGATCTTTGATCATTACTGCTTCTTTTTAACACATGAATATAGTTCAGCCTGCCATCAATTCTATGAGGCAAATTTAAACTTTACTTTCCTATGTCTTTTCCTTCCCTTACATCCTGCTTACTTAGGGAGAAGTTTCAGCAACAGATCTGGCCATTCCCTGTAGATCACTCGGGGAGGAATTGGACAATGGGAAAGATGGCTGTAGCCATTCAAATACAAATGAACACATTCTTTAGCTGAAGACTCCCAGCATTACTATCTAGTTCCTGTCTCAGGGCAGGACATTTCAAAAGCTGCTTACAATGGCTTGGGAAACCAGTTTTAATTTATCTCCCAGTTAATCTCCACCATTTTTAAAGCTCATTCTGTACACAGAAAAGAGTTTAAGTACAGCCCAAAACTACTTGCTCTTGTTTTGAACTGGCCTTTTTGCTTTACATGAGCACAGAAATTCAAGATGCATAAAAACTTTCTTGAGGAGTGGCTTCGCCATGTGTCTCCCCTCCCCCACCTCCTGCCTGCTTTGCAGGGAGAGAGTAGCAAATTTACAAATTTACACAGAAACAGACAGAGGGCTCCTGAGAACAGTCTTCCGACTCTGTGGAAGCCAAACCAAACAATGGCCTCACGCCGACCAGTGGCCCTCCGACATTGAAAGCTGGCCACCTACTAGAATGAGTCTGCCATTGGCCATTCCGGACCTCCACCACACAGAAAATCACAACAACTAACAAGAGGGCGCCCAACATCAACATTTCAACTTGAAACCAGACTTGGGAGAAGTCCACTTCTCTCTTGCCCTTACAAGAGCACAGAAATTTGCCCATGAGGCCTCTTCTCCTGGACCTGATGCTGCCACGCTGGCCCAGGCCCCCGAGCGAGGATGCTGCCACCGCTGCCCCAGCCACGCTGCTCGGGTGGTCCCGAGGAGGAAGCACGGGTCGCCCCAGTGGCTTTCCGGCTCCGCCTCCCCTTCTCCAGGCAGCCAGCAAAATTAACCCATGTGCCTGACCCTGAGCGAGGCAGCCACTGCCCAGCCGCTCTCCGACGCGCAGACCGAGCCCCGCAGAAGGCCCCCCTACAACCCAGCACCGCCAGGGGGCCCCGTGCCACCACACCGGCCACACTTTGCTGGCTCCATCCTTGGGCGCCTCGTCTCCCACGGACACCAAACTCAGACCTGGGAAAGTCTCCCGTCACTTTCCTGCATGTGAGGCACCGGCTTATGCCGCTCACCTCGTCCTGGGAGAGGTTCCCATCCCTCTCCCCATCTGAGGGTCCCTGTAGAAGTGGATTCCACGTCTCTCCTGTCTGAGGGGCCCTCCCAGGAGGTCAGAATGTCTTCTGAATCCTCCAGCCCGTGGTCTTAATGGTGCGTCTTCCAGACGTATTCGGGCCCCAATGACACGAGGGGTTCCCACGTCCCTTCAGAGCGCTCACACAAGGACACAGACAAACACACACTTAGCGTGGCCAGTCAGGCTCTTCGGATCAGGGTCCCTCATGGTCCTGGGGATCCTGGAAGAATTTCCCCATATGTTACACCCAGACTTCGTGATCCCCAAGGACCACCAGGGAGCCAAGTCCAATGCAATAAACAAAAGAGCTTCTTCCATGCAAGCATGGGCTCTGTCCCACTCACGCCGACAGCATGGCGGAAGAGAGCACGAATTTTGCCAAGCCCTGGGGTTTTACTCCGGTGGTGATGTCACTGCTTTGGCTGACCTCGATTGGTTGGGTGAGGGCCAGGTGCCAGCTACACAAAATGGAGGTATAACTCCGCCCTGCCCCACAGTGGAGTCAGGATTTTATCCTCGCCCCGCCCTGCCCTCTCACATATACGTCTCGATCACACAAAGTGCTTTCTCACCCACTCCATGTCTTATTTTGCAGAGTCCAACTTAGGTCTGGAAATCAGCATTCACTGCCCGTGTCACACCTTTCAGCCCAATGGAGACATCCTGGAAAACATCCATGAGGTGATGGAAATCAAGTTCAAAGGTAACAGAGTGCACAGGACAGGAGACCCTTCCCAGACCCCGGGCAGAGGGACCAAGCTCCCTCGCAGAGATGGCCACTCTCCTGTACTCGAGTCATTCTGCTTGGCCCCCAAAGCAACGGGCGTGACTGTCATTTTTTAGTCCTAGAGCACACATTAGCATTTTGGAAGACACTGTTCGGTTGGTCAGAGCAGTGAGATCGTGTGGATGAGTGGTACCATTGCTCTGCGGTCAGTAAAATGGGGATGCGAGGACTTCTTTCCCAGGGTTACTATGCAAATTAAATGAGATAACAAGTGTATAACCCAGTGTCAGGAATACTCAACAAATAGTAGCTGTCTTCCCCTTCCCTAAAAGCAGTGGACGTTGGTGGCTGTGAATTGAGGGGTCTTGACTACCGAGCCTACGGGTGTTACAGAGCCCACCGGATCCTTGCCTGGGTGGCACCTGGGTTTGAATGACAGCTTCAGGGCTCTGGGTGTTTGTGATGAGATGGTGAAAAAGTTGAGAGTCATTTCAGGTTTTCCAGTGTGTTTCTAAGGCGCTCAACCTAGACCAGTGGCCGGCAAACTCATTAGTCAACAGAGCCAAATATCAACAGTACAACGATTGAAATTTCTTTTGAGAGCCAAATTTTTTAAACTTAAATTTCTTCTAACACCGCTTCTTCAAAATAGAATCGCCCAGGCCGTGGTATTTTGTGGAAAAGCCACACTCAAGGGGCCAAAGAGCCTCATGTGGCTCACGAGCTGCAGTTTGCCAACCAAGGACCTAGACCAGCTTTGGGTTTTCCTTCCATGTCTATTTTGGGTAACTGAGGCACACCTGAAGCCAGGTGGTTTATCAAGGTCAAAGCAACCATGCCATAGCCTGAGGTTCGAGGCTTGTCTGAGAAATGCAGGCCTGTTGGCTCCCTGTCCTGGGCAGTCCCCTTACCCGTCAGAGCCTCTATTTCAGAGCCTTTTTATTTTTTAAGCCAAGTATTTGACATCCTAATTACAGAACCTCAGAGTTCAGATCTTTGGAGTCTGTACCGCCAGGCCAGGTCAGAACAAAATCCTTCCACCATAGTTTTGCTCATAAAGATCGTCAGGAAAGGAAATTGAAAAACCAGGCCTCTCGTTCATCTCACAGCCCAAGTCCACGTCCCTCCAATGACATGTAAATTAACCTCCTGGATCCTGTCTTGCGTGGAGATGGACCATTGCTGGCAGCTGTCTGTCACAACATAGATGTCCTTTCAGCTGAGACTCTTTCTAATCCAGTCTTCAGTCTTGACCTTTTCAGTTGAAATAGGTTTTCTTCCCAGAGTTTGCTTGCTAAGCTGATTATTGTGCGCTCCATTAGCGCCTCTGAGTTTTATAGTGAAACCATTTGAATGGGAATGATTATTCAGTCTCATTCTTCTGGTTTCTCTTCAAGATGTCTTACAATTGTGACACCTTAAGTTACAGCAGGGACTTCGAGTATCTTGACCAATTCAGATCATAAGACGGAACTCAAACACACAAGAGTCCAAGTCCCTAAGGACACAAGAGTCCTTAGTCCAAGAATCTAAACTAACAGCCCAAAGAAATGTTACATAGCTACTCAGTGACAGATGTTCACAGGTCCAGGAGCATCTCAGGAAAGGCTCGCTGCGTCCTAAAAAAAAATCTTTATTGTTGAAAGTATTACCTAGCTCACCCTCAGTGCTCCACCCCCTTCCCTCACTTGGCCTCTTCTAGCCGGCTTCCATCCCCCCACCCACTTCTGGCTCTCACCACCCCATTGTCTGTGTCCATGGGTTATGCATATAAGTTCATTGGTTGATCTCTTCCCACCCACCCTCCCCTGACTTCCCTCGAAGCTCCATAGTCTGTTCAGATGTACACACACACAGGAGGCATGAGAGGTCTGACCAGGGCTGTCTTGTGGGTTCCTCAGATACCGGTTCCCCTATTGAGTCTTTTCCTTCATCACAGACCACACTGCCCTCCTCCTGGGCAGGGATGGGATGGGATGGGGTGAGAAGGCGGCCTCCACTCTGCCTTCCTTAGACAGGAGAGTGTCACCTTCCTTCCCTCCTGTAGGCGTGGACAGTGAGGACGATCACGGCCGGGGAGACCTGGGACGCCTCAGGAAGCAGAAGGACCACCACAACCCACATCTAATCCTCATGATGATCCCCCCACACCGGCTGGACAACCCTGGCCAGGGCAGCCAGAGGAAGAAGCGGGCCCTGGACACCAATTACTGCTTTAGGTGAGCCTGGGCCGCTCGGGATCTGTGAACTCCTGAGGCTGCCTGGACTAGTACTACCGTGGGGTAGGCCCCACTCAACCGAGGGTCCCTGAGGCTATTCACAAACGTCTTCAGGAAAGAAGATTTACAAACCTTTCTGTCTTTCTGGGAGCTCCCCAGTTTCCTGCAGCCCAGCTCTGTGAGGCCTAGGATGAAGGGCCAGGAGAGTGTGGGCTGAGCTTCTTCATGGTTCTCATGTTTTTTTAAAAAATGTTTTTATTGCTCTCAGAGAAGAAGGGAGAAGAAGGGAAACAACAATGATGAGAGAGAATTAATGATTGGCTGCCCCTTGCAGGCCCCACATTGGGGATCGAGCCCGTAACCAGGGCATGTGCCCTGGCTGGGAATCAAACTGGGACCTCCTGCTTCAGAGGTCAGTGCTCAGCCACTGGCCAGGCAGTAGTTCTCCTGTTTCAGAGTACGTGCGGGGTGTGTTTGCCTGTGGGCGATGCTTGCAGGAATCTCCATGAGAGAAGTGCTCAGTTCCCTGTGAAGCGTCCAAGGATGCTACGGGAAGAGGGGAAACAGGGCAGTCTCCATTTAAGCCAGGCAATCTGAGCTCGAGAAATTCATAAACTAATTCAGATGCTGTTCAGTAGCCTCAGTGAAGAGGTTTAAAAACAAACAGAGCCTCTTGTTTTATTTAGGAGTCGTTTAGCTTCTTCTTGTTTATAACGAAGGGCTGCTGAAGCATGCACAGCGGTTAGTAAAAGGTAGAAATGACCACATTCATGAGAAGGCCTGAAGGGTACGTGCTTTAAGAATTTGGAGCTCATCTGCGGATGCAGGAGAGGCTTCAGAGGGTGTGGAATCCCAGCCTTGGAGGACCAGTGAGTGTGGGTGGGGCCATGGGAGGAGGAGCACTTCCAGTAAAGGAAAGGGCATGAATGGGTCAGTCTGGCTAGAGGGGAGGGTGCCTGGATAGAGCGGGGGAGAATGACTTGGGAAGATTTTAGCTCTAAAACCATGTCTTGTTAGGAGCAGTCGAATGAATGAGGGATGTTGAGCTTGGGGAACAGAAAGGGTAAGAGAGGCCATGTGGTTGCCTCCAACTGTCTGAAGGCTGGTGTGTAGATTAGTTCTGTTTGGCACATAATCAGTTAGGAATGGATGCTCTTGGCTGCAGGGATTTCTTGTTCATAAGAGGCTGGCAGCAGCAGGCTCAGGGTTGACTTGGCTGCTTAATTATGCCACCAGGGACACAGGCTTTCCCTCTCTCTTCAGTCTGCCATGCTTAACATGGTGCCTTGCTTTTCATGCTCTTGCTCATGGTCACAGTGTCTGCTGGAGCTCTGTGCTGTCGACGAGAAAAGGGAAGAGGCAGAGCTAGTAGTGTTCCCCTTCTATCTGCGACTTTTATATGGAATCAAATATATATATATAAATACATATATATACATATATATATATATATATGTATACACACACATATATATATATATATATGTGTGTGTGTGTGTATACATATATATATATGTGTGTGTGTGTATACATATATATATGTGTGTGTGTGTGTGTGTGTGTGTGTGTATATATATATTTTTTTTTTTTGCCAGAATTGGAACTCATCCCCTGCATGCTTCTCCTTATGTCTGGTCATTGCTGTTACATGACCACCCCTATCTGCAAGGGAGGCAGGAAAACAAGTATCTGGTGTTCTAGACTCTGTCATGGGAAGCAGCAAGAGAAGGGGGTTAGGAATAAAAAGATAATAAAGAATGTTTGCCACCGTTTACCCTCAGAACCCACAAGAAGCCAGGTTTTGGCCTTGGAAGCAGCAAGTCCTAGGTCTCAGCAGATACTGAAGTAAGACTAGTTCCCACCTACCAAGGGTACTGCCCAATGGGCTTCTGCAGGCAGCAGAACTGACGTGCCCTGATGATCACATTGGAGGTGGCCTAGGAATCGTGAGTCTGATCATAGAAGGATGTGCCTCATTTTGATTTGATTAGATTACATTTGAGATGTAATCTAAGCAGTCTTCTCCCACAGTACATAAGCGGTGTGAGCTTAAAGGTCATTTCTGGCTGGTTGCACAGTAGGAAGGTAATAAAATCAACCTCCACTGAGCTGAGTTGGCTGATAACATTCAGTGCTTGGTTTTCTGTGGAGCAATTTATGGCTCTGCTTTGATTCATAAAGTAAAAAGGAGCAGGGCCCCCTCTGTCTTTTTGCTCTTATTCATCATCTACATCTGCTTGGTATGTCCCTGGGACCAGGGTCTTTAACAGAAAACTCTGTTATAGTCTATACGGCTCCTTGCACTTGAACATGAGGTTCCATCGATTAGACTCCGTCTTAGGATGACCAGGAAGGATTCCATGTGCAAAGACGAGGGCCGCTTGTGAAGTTGTTCATGTCAGTGGCTTGCTTTTAGGTCGGGTTTCTGTAATGTGCTTTGTGTTGCAGCAATGTGGAAGAGAACTGCTGTGTGCGCCCCCTCTACATCGACTTCCGCCAGGATCTGGGCTGGAAATGGATCCACGAACCTAAGGGCTACTACGCCAACTTCTGCTCAGGCCCTTGCCCGTACCTCCACAGCGCAGACACAACCCACAGCAAGGTATGTACAGAGCAGGGCACAGACCCAGGGAGCGCCAGGGCTGAGTGGACCAGGCACTTGTTTGAAATTGATGCATGAAGGACTGAATGCCGAGTGAGGGAAGGATGAGCTGAAGTGAGTAAAATCCCTTCTGTGAAGGTTTTGATCTTGGCACTCTGGCCCAACTCTACTCGGGCACATTCTACCCTTCATAATTACTTACATAGTTTCGGCCTGGCTTTTCATCTTCTCTGTCTAAAGCGTTTGTATTGTTCTGGAATTAATTTGCTCCATGCCACCCTGTATGTCAGAGATGTGTGCGCATGGCTGGCAGGTGATGTGGGCAGAATGGCTTCCACCATCACCTCAACAACTCTGGTAATTCCAGCCTCCTGACTGTAGAAAAGTTACTTAGAAAGAGGAGGTAAAGCATGCAGAAGCAGCTAACTGAAACAACAGGAAGAAAAGGGGAGAGAGAGAGGGGAGTCCAGGACCCTGAAACCAGCCTCTCTTTCCCTGGTGGGTAGGGTGAGGGGAATGAAACCAGGGCAGAAATTCACAAGGCTCATTGTCACTATATCTAGTCTGGAATTACCAAATGGCAATGTTTTGTGAAGTCCATATCTCACCGAAGTGGCCAATTAGAACTGGGAAGACCAATATAGGAGTTTTTTTCACAGAGAGAGAGGATTCCATGACCAATGTCAAGTCCCCCATAGCTGTTAATGTGCCAAACTGTTAATGAGCAGGTGCAGATGCTCTCCATTCCTGCCCCGTGGACGAATGGGAGTGGTCACTCACGCCACCTGGGCGTGTCCCCGTGGTGTTGACCACGTGCTCGGTCTCTGGAGCAGCCCCAGATGGCGTGGAGGGTCTCAGGCCTGAGGCCTGGCTTTCCAGCTTCTAAGCGATGTCTCCTCCCCAGGTGCTGGGCGTGTATAACACCTTGAACCCCGAAGCCTCCGCATCTCCTTGCTGTGTGCCCCAGGACTTGGAGCCCCTGACCATCCTGTACTATGTCGGGAGGAACCCCAAGGTGGAGCATCTGTCTAACATGGTGGTGAAGTCCTGTAAGTGCAGCTGAGGCCCCGCCCGCAGCCCGGGGAGCGGAGAGAGAACTGCCAAGGCCGGCCTGCCTGCTCCTCGGGAAACACAAAACCAACAGACCTCACCTGGAAGCCTAGAGCCCACAACCTGCGGCGTTGGGCAAATGGCCGAGACGGAGGCTCCCTTCTGGAATGTTCCATTCTTGTTGGCTGTGAGGATCACTGTGGTAAAGAAAGTGTGGGTCTGGTTAGGGGAAGGCCGAACTCTTCAGAACACACAGATGTTTCTGGGACGTGGACAGGTGGTGGGACGGTGGAAGAGGGATGGCGAGTGGACAGTGGTGTGGCAATGGGGTTGGGGAGATGGGGAGAAGAGGCAGAGTGTGGCCGGGACAGGGCCAGGCCGGAAGACACGTCTGACCGAGGTCAGATTTGCTCATCGCTGCCCCACGTCGGCACTAGGGAATCTGGATCACGTTATGCATGGCAAGCATTTCACTCCGGACAGGTTACCAAAACATGGTCCCCAGTGTTGTCTCTCATACGACCTGGGATGAAGGATGAAATCTGTTAGTTTGGCAAACCGTCCTCTGGACACCCATCAGCATCAAGGGGCATTGCAGGGAAAACGGCCAGGTAATGTAGATCCCGGCCATCAGTTCCCGGGGCCCTAGGGGCACATCGAACTCAGAAGCAGAAGGTGCGAAGCGACCCTGCTCCTGTCTGCTCTCTGGGTTCCTCCTCTCACCTTCTCCGGTGGCATTTCCCCTGGGACATTTGGCTAGACACCTTCCAGGTCAGGGTACACATCCGAGTTGGGGGTGTGTGCAGCCCTCGGGCATTATGGGCTTCCCCCTGCCCTGGGCCCTGTGTTCACCTGGTGTTCCTGGAAGCAGGTGCTATGTGTGGGGCACGCGGGGAGGTCACTCGTGTGCCACGCAATGACTTGGCCCAGACGCATAGACTGAGGTATAAAGACAAATACAAATATTAATCTCGAAATCGTTGTATAAATAAAATTTTTTGGGGAACCTTGGATCGTTTCATCTTCTGGAAGATTGTTTTTAGGACAGTAAAAGCCTTATGCTAAGGTGTAAGTCTGATTCGATAGATGTCCTTAGTTACCATTTTCTTAATTTCCTGTCCATGCCTGCTAATCAGAGGTACCGGGAATCCCGGGCCGAGAATCACAAAAGTTGATCAAATACATTGCTTAGCGCCGTGGTTGGCAAACTGTGGTTCTCGAGCCACATGCAGCTCTTTGGCCCCTTGAGTGTGGCTCTTCCACAAAATACCCCGGCCTGGGCCAGTCCAATTTGAAGAAGTGGCATTAGAAGAAGTTTAAGTTTAAAAAATGGATGGGAGAGAGATACATCGATTGGTGGCCTTTTGCAAGTGCCCCAACTGGGGATTGAACCCCCGACCTTCCAGTGCACAGGGTGATGCTCCAACCAACTGAGCCACACCAGCCAGGGCTGTTTTTAATTTCAAACTATGATCTCACAGTTTTTAGAAATTTACTTGTAGGGATCCCTAGAGCTTTGAATTGAAGGAGGATCCTCCAGAAAAAATAAGCATTTGATTCTATTAGGTACCAGGAGCCACTACTAGCTTAGGGGACCACCTTTAACTAAATTCTCAACCTGAAGGTTTTCAGGGCAGCTAGGAAATATGAATTCATGCCCAAGCTCACATGGACGCCAGCTTGTACTTATGAAGAATCACGGAAGAGGCCCCTATATGCTCTCACTCAGCAACCAAGTTCAAGGCAGGTAATTTTCTTCCAGTGCCCGAGGGGGTGGAGGGGAGGGATTATTTCTGGTTGACATAAAAACGGAGAATACAGCCCTTTGGGATCCCATCTATACACAAAGGATCTCCCACTAGACTTCCCATCTTAGATTACCTGTTACCCCTCACACGGTGCTATAATTCTGGCCCAGTGCGGCTCCAGTACCACTCCTGCCTGGTGACCCCCTGCTGGGATTTAAGGGCAGGAAAGGCACCCAGGACAATGATGTGATGGAGTTTCCCCCTCACTGCTTCTGTGGCCATGATCATAACCAGTCTCTCTCTCTCTCTCTCTCTGGACTTTGAAAAACCAGTCATTGACATTAACCCACATTCTTCTTTTCTGCTTTGATGTCCTGGCCTGGAAATTCTTTCTTTTTTGTTTGGTCAAATGTCTATGGATCATACTGCTTATTTATACACTTACTTGGTGCTTATCATTAAATGAAGGTCCATCGTATCAGATTAGTTCTAAAGTCAATGAGTACCATGAACATAAAATATCATGAGAATTGCTCCTAAAATTTTTAAAGCGCCCGTGAACTACATTGTATTGGTTTGGCAGCTATCAGAGAGTCCAACACACCCGGTTTCTCTGCCAGCTGCCATTCTTCCATTAGCACTGAATTAAAGTAACAGGCTGGCATTACTTTGACACCGTGAATGAAACTATTTTTAACTCCTGGATTGACATTTGCCAAGGTGAAGTGCATTACAAGAGGCACCCAGAAATTAAGAATGCCGAGTGACCAGCACATTCCCTTTGCATGCTCAGTCTGAGGCATAAGGACCCTGAGGGCAATGATGGAGAGTTTTCCTATGTTTCTGGGGGCGAGGGGACACTCACACTTGCATGAATCACTCATTTCCCCCTAGCACACTCTTTTAAATGTAGAGACTACATCTTACAAATCTTCACCTGACCTGAGCTTCCACCATTTAAATATATATTATTGACTTTAAAAAGGAAGAAAGAGGGAGAGAAACATCAATGATGAGAGAGAATCATCAATTGGCTGCCTCCTGCACGCCCCACACTGGGGATCGAGCCCGCAACCAGGGCATGTGCCCTGGCTGGGAATCAAACGGTGACCTCCTGGTTCATAGGTCACAGCTCAGCCACTGAGCCACGCTGACCGGGCGAGCTCCCAGCATTTCGCCGTGTAAATATTTACTTGGGGGCTGCTGGGTAAATATCAGATGCTCTGATGTGGGGATGACCATGAGCAGTGTTTCCTATGGGGCAGAAGATCTCCACCTCCATGCAAACTGCATCTGCCAACTGCAAAAGGCCTGCTGAGGTAAGCAGCGACCCCTGCTCTAGACCAGGGCTCCTGCGCCCTCCAGCTGTTTGAATGAAACGGATGCAACATTTCAACATCTGCATCGTGGCCTTTCCCATTGAGAAAAGACAGAATTCATCATGACTTCCAGGCCCGTAGAGATGGCCCAGACCTCAGACAATAGGAACATATACATGCTTTTTCTCCCTCCAACATCTGAGGTGAAGAAGAGAAACAAAGTTAAAAAAAAAAAAAAAAAAGCTTAATTTAAATTTTTTTTAAAATGACCAACATGTGAACACTTTTAGAAACTGTGCCTTTCTGATTTGCCCCTAAGGTCTTTCCAACTGATCAGAGTGGCCCTGGTAGCATCCTCTGGCAACTCTTTGGTTTGATGAGAAAGAGCCTGAATGAATAAACTTATTTATATCCTGAGTGACACTAGGAGAGAGGGACAGCTGGGGAATGAGGGCCAACCTGCTGGCCCCTCACCTTCCTGGGCACAGCTCCAGTTCTCAGGAATGAACAGCACAGGCACAGGAGCAGCAGATCCATTTCAGGAAACCCTGCCTGGGTGACAGGGAGGCGCCAGGCACAGCTGCAAGGGGTTTGCTCAGAGCCCAGGCAGCCCCTGAGTCAGTCTGAAAGGCAGCAGCAGGGAGCAGGGAGCTGGCCTACCATGGAGGCACCATGGAGCTCGCAGCCCCTCCCAGGGACCCTCCCTCTTCATTTCCAATGAACATTTTAGGCACTTGTCTTAGCTCTTACATGCTAACACCATGCAATGGGGGAGATTTACGTTTTACTTGCAAAATCTGAGTGTCAATAAAACATTATATTAAGGAATTCTACTGTAAAGAACTAAAGTCTTACACACAATAAGCCTAATTATTCTAAGAAA